GGATGTATCTTTTGTGCCCTCAAGCCAAAATAGCCATGAGCTCGACCCAGCACCACAACTTCCCCATGTAACACCTGTGCGATGTCAACGTGACTGCTCGTTATCGGAGTCGCAGTTGGAAAAATTGTTTGAAAATAGTGTTTCCTTTGATGAAGTCACCACACCGCCCGGCTTATCAGGTGTTCTTTCTCCAACTCCAGAGTGTTACACTCAGATTAAACCTCAGGAAGTGTCTCAAGAAGACTCTGAGACAACGCTGTATAAAATTTTGTCTGGCAGACGAAAATGTAGTTCTCAGTCTTTTAGCTCGAGGAGGACTGATGTTAACACGGCATGTTATTTTTCATGTCAAGAAGCAGAAAAAGAATCAACTCTAATTTTTGGAAGCAAACCGAATATTCTAGGTAACACAAACTCTAAGGAATCTACCATTTCGTCTTCGCGGGGAAACTCCGTCAGCAAGTCATCAACTGGCAAACAGCCCAACCGGGTAAACTCTAATGTTGAATTTGATACCTTGTTCTCCCAAAACACTTGGAGTGTATCTCAACCATTTACACAAGAATTAAGTGCTGATTTAGTTGAAATTGACAAACGTCAGTCTATCAAAAGGAGACATTCTGAGACTGAGGATCATTCGCACAAGACACACCTATCAGACAAGCAAGAAAAAGAAGTATTTTATGGGGACGGTACAGTTAGTCCAGGTGAGTGAGTAAAAAAAGTATTAAGAAGACAGATAGACGGAGAGACAGACAGACGAGTGAAAGGGACAATCAAACAGGAGCGTGGCTAAATTTCTTGGCGCCGAGATGGTAGTTGCAAATTTTCAGCCGAATCAAAGGCTGCGCTATTTTGGGATCTCTGATCTTTCACAACCCAAACTAGAATACGATAGCGTTACATGCTTGTTATATATTCTTCTTTTGCAGATAGAACATCATTCTCACCCAACAGTAGTCAGGCTGGTTACTCTCAAAGTCAGCGATGCAACAACTCTGTAAGTCACAGGGCAACGCGTTACGTTGGTAGAAGAATGAAGATGTTAAGATAGACTTTATTTAGCAAGTGTAACTTTAGAAAGTAATTTAACTGATGATTTTGTGGCCCTTGTGGTAGCAAAGTCTTATAACTTCCTTCAGCCGCTTTCAAAGGAAGTTTCCTATTTACTAACTGTTCTTTTTTTTTGTTTGTCTATGGTGATTCGATAGCTCACTATTTCCTTGGCCAAGCCTACTTTCCTATACTCACAACAGGATCCTTTGGTTCTGGACACGTCAGGATCAACAGGTACGCTGACAATAAGTGCGAATCTTGTGCTTTGATTCCAATTTGATATTTTCGTGATGGTTTTTTTTTTTTAGAATAATTCCGGCATTGTAATTCATCATGGTCAAATGGTCTAATGGGCTATACTGGACAATAATGCGCAACTGTTGTTTGTGCTTAAGTTGTTTGCTCACAATGACTCAGTGGTTATTTGATGTATAAACAAGCCTCGATAATTGGCGTTTATTTGTTCTTTGGATTTCGCGATCGGCAAGTGAAGCAGTAGACTTTAAAATCATTCAGCAAAAAATACCCAGGCACAGCTGCTATATCGAAAGAAGGACAACGACGACTGTCCTTCATTTGAACCGAGGGGCGTATGTAAACCAGGTGGAGGTACTCTATAGAATTCTAGGTAAAAAAATATGAAACCGTTTGCTTGATCTACTGTTTACACAGAGGGAAACAAGTCGTCTGAGGAAGAAGAACCTTTCACGTTAAGAACTCCGACGTTTGGCTCTCTTCCATCTTTTCAAGTAAGTTTTTGCTGTTTTATTCATTTATTCATTTATTCCTTGACCAGCACGAACTCAGAGTCAATTTATCGAACTACCCTAAACTTTACTAAAGGTTGATTTTAGATTAAAAAATATGAGTTACAAGCGTTGATTAATAAAATAAATCAAAACCTGTAATTAGAAATAAATTGTAACTTAGCCATGTATATTTGTTGTCATTAAACGATAACTACCGCGTTAGCTCCAATAACATGTTTACTTCCTCTAAAAGACTTGCTAACAAGCCGATTCTTATACAAGTTTCAAGTATGTGCTAACATAGGTATTTTGTTTGTGGGGTAACGGGGTTAAAAACAGTGGCCTCATTTTGATTTTGAGCTTTTTTAATTTTACTGATTTGTTGATTAATTTTTTAAAATAGATTCCTGTTGAAAAAGGCGATTCACTCAATCGAGAAGGCGAGGTATTAATTTCAAAATGGAGAACTATGTTCATACATTTGATAGTGTAATTTAGTGTTATCAACTGAGTTGATAACGTTAATTGGCCTCCGTAAAGAACGCAGCACTACAGTTTCTTCAGAAACTTACCCGCTTCATACGTTTGATAACCTTTTCATGGTGGCTGAATGTGGAATGTTTCTTTACCGGATGTATGCAAGCGATTTTACTTTAATGTGTCAAATTTATTATTTTCCAACTGATTGCCAATAATCAAGTTGTTTGTTGGTCATTTGTCGATTGAAATGTTATGTTGAAATATTTAAATTTAGCTGATTTAAATGTTATCCTTACCATTAACTTCAATAGTCCACAAAGCAAAAAGATGCTGACTTCGTCGAGAGTATGTTGAAAAGCTTTGGTTCAAAGAGGAAGAAACATCGTAGGAACTTTAATTGGTTCTCAGATGCGTATTAACGAAGGTATGTCAACATATTTTTGTAACAGGTCATTTTTATCATATTGGAGAATCAGAGTGAAACCTTGATTTAAACGTCTGTAAGGTTAACGAACACCAAATTGGTACTGAATCTAACCATTATAGGGACAGTGTTTCGAATCTCACCAAAAATTCTTTCAAAAAAAGGCTACGTTTGAGTCCAAAATGTTCTGAGGAACAGATTTCTTTCAATTTTTTTTTTCAGCAATGGGATAATAGCCAACTAAATTCAGCGACGAAGTGATTTAAAGGGTTACATTGCTTTTTTTTTTGTTTTTTTAATTTTTTTTTCCTTCAATTATTTAGTTTAGATACAAGTGTATGGGCCCAACGAGGTGTTCCACCTGAACGGATTGTTGGGTGGTCCTTCGCCTGGATAGAGGTGAATTCCATGATCGCCATGCGAAAATAAGAATGCCACAGTGATTTGCTTATTATCAGGATTACAATCAACTTCATCATCGCTCAACTTGGATCCGCGATCGATGATTTTGCTTTGGATTTTCTGCACCTTGTGACAGAAAAAGTAATTCTAATACTGTCTTTATATTTTTGACCTCCTCCACCAAAACGAAAAAAAAAACATTTTCTCTAATAACATTTTACATAAAGGTGTCATCTCATCAATCATCATTGACCGGTCAAATTATATATTATTTCATTTTTTAATTGTGGGTTTATCCTTTATCACCTCTCCAAACTGATAAATAAACTCAGTTCTGGTTATTAATTCAGCTTGCAAGCTGTAACTTTACAACTCTTAAGTAAAAATTAGTATTGAAGGGAATCAATAATGTTGCTATTAAAAGAAACAATTATTCGACTTATCCTCGATGGGAAAGGTTGACAAGTTTCCAACTCGTCGCTGCATTGGTCTTTTTCCACTCATTTATTATCTATCTGTGATCTCATATCCAGCGGGCTATATTAACGTAGATTTATTACTTTGCATCCCGAATTGGTGACATGCTTGTCTTAAGAAACTTCTAGACTCGGCTAACTTTTCGTTCCCATATTATTCCATCTCAAGGCCAGGCGTAGGGTTCCTTAATACGTTAACATGGTCAAACATGTACACTTGTCCAGATCTATCAAAATGAAAAAAAATCATATTTCGTTCCTAAATTTTGACAGGAAGAAAAGATTAGAGCTTTATCAAAACCATCTGCCGAAAACAACAGCATAACAAAGTTAATCTCTGCAAATATTCTGTCAGTTCATCGGTACTGATAATGAAAGTTGAAAAAAATTAGTCATTTATTTTATCAAACTTTTTGATTTATTTTACGGTCATACAAGTACATTTAAAAAGATTGGCAACACTTAGCCGTCTCGCCTACATTCACCAAAATTTTAGGCTTCTTTTGCTTGTTTCCATAATGCGTTGTGGTTTTCCTTATCTCCGTTTGTCAACTTTTGCATCGTACGAAGCAATGTGACTCATTTATTTAAGATGCGAATTTAATTTGATGTTGACCAGTTGTTAAATTCAATAGGAGTCGTCGCATTATTTTTTTTTTATTTTATTTTTTTTTTTCGCTAGCGTGTTCTATCCACTTGACTCGAGTAAAATCTCTCCTCTCTACTTCAACCTTCAAATCTGTTCACTGTGACCGCAACATCGTTTCAAAACATGAACTCTATTTTGTTACTACGTTAACGGTTCGCTTCAAACAATTTAGGTAAAAATCTTTTTATGTAAAGCACTACTGATCCCGAAAAGTCTGACGTATTTCCATTTCTTCGACTGAAGGTGCGTTCCAGGTCTCATGAATTATACAGAGACATGATACTCGTGATTTAGAAAAAAATCCTACGAGAAGATGTGTCCATCGGTAAGAAAACAAAGAAGAAAGAAAAATTAAATCATTCACGAATTCGAACAGAACATTTGAATAACAACGTTTGGACCTTTTGTTCAAACTAGAATCTAAAACAACCATTGGTTGATTTGCATATCTGATTTGCATTAGATTCAAAACAAAGCTCCTTTGATGTGTGTTTTTATCTTTTGACCCTTTTTCTCTGGTTTCAGAGACCACCTTGGTGATTTCAAGTGCATTTTTGCCTTTCGTTCTCCACATTACTCTCCTGAAATGTAATCGATACCCACTTATTTAGAACTTTGGAAGAGGTAATCCTGCTAGATGCGTTCTCCTTCAGAGTTTTTGTTTAAATTTGCGTGGAGTCATTACACCTGTCTCAGGCACTCAGACGCAAACTTGAATATTATTAGCGGGAGAGACAAGCGCCCCAGCACGCATGCGTCAGGGTTGTACACAACATTAAAGATCGCTTCTCGCTCAGAGCGAATGTTATTTTGGTCTTGCGGGCAATCATCATGGAGGCCGGTAAGGATGCTTGTATGCTGCAATTTAATAGCGATGCGAAACTAACGTCAGAAGAATTCGTGAAAGTCTTCAAGGAATTTGACAAAGACGGTAAGAATTAACCAAAGTAGAATTAAAAATTGCCCATCTCGAGCGTGTTGAATGAACGATTAGTTGAGTCACATGAAAAAATTATCTGGCATCCCTCTTTTGTTTTCAGGGAATGGTTACATAGAAGCAGACGAGCTGAATACGTTTTTGGTGACTCTCCTGCAGGAGACAGGCAACGAGGTAATAAAAGCGCTTTACACGGTGACATATATTTGTTTATTACATTGAATTTTAGAATATTTTGGTACGAACTGTGAACCTGAGGCTTTTTCACCGCACTCTACGAATTGTTCAAATGATCTTGCAAATCGCTGTTAATATATGTATCTTTTTCCTTTAAAGCCCAACAAATGTGAATATTCTTGTCGTATCAGGTACTCACACTGGCAAATTTTCATCTCGAGATCTGTGATTTTAATAACTTCCAGGGGCGATCTTGTATAGATCGTCGTAAGCTTTTCGATGTTTTCGAGGTCAAGCGGTTAAAATAGTTTTACTGATCCATGAGGATTTCCTATTTTGAAGTGTTTCTTATATAATTTTTTTTATTATTGAACAGACATTCAATTCTTTTAAACTGGCTCGCTTGTAATATTTAGCTTAGTTGTCCGTGAATATTGCATAAATTTAATCTCGCGTTGTAATTTTCGTTTAATTTAATATGCAGCAATTACAAAACCAATGTTGTTTTGCTTAGAAAATGTTAAATGATTTAAATACAGAATCACGGCCATGCATTTCTTACCCGCCTTTGCTCACGTCATTACGCGTTTCCTGCGGTATTTCTTAAAATTTTTGCCCTGCTGAATGCATTAATAAAATGTTTACAAAAGTACCTGAAAGTTTACAGATTAAATACTGTATTTTATGAATCCTTTTAGTAGTGAGCAGTTGGTTCTCGTTATATTTAAGTTTTCCAACCTAATAACTATTTAATGAATTTTGGGTTTTTTCTCTGAGCGAGCTAATTACAGAACGATTCATTTGGGATTCGAAAACAGCTATCTTTTAGCACGAATTTCACATTTGCAAAAGTACTCAGTGAATTACATTTTCAAGACGAACTGATCTTCTGCAAAGATTTAATCGTGAAGGCGTTTTACGCATTACCTTTATCACGCCGATCTTTCGTAATTATGACAACAAAGCAGATTTTATTGGTCGAAGAGCTTTTCCATACGATGCACATCATTTATTTATGGAGACGCTCGCTTACTTTCAGTATTGAATTTTTCCTATGAATTTTTTCCACTTTTGCAAAATAAAATAGGGAAAGATCTTATTGTTTCGTTTTGACAAGTCTTTATATAAAAAGTTATTTTTACGATCCTTCTAAAATCTCATGGGATCGTGTTCCGCGATCAATGATAAAAAACGATGCCGAAATAAAACAAGAGTCATGAAATATATAGATGTTGCTATTTTTACTAATTTTAATCAGTGCACCTTAACCTTAAATGATTTGTAAGCCTATAGGGAAGATAGAGACGTTTCAATTGTTGTTATATGTACTTCGTTTCGGTAGTTTACGGTGGAACTCAAATGGGCTCATGTGAAACCTTACTGAGTTGTGGACGAAAAAGAAAAAAAAACATATATAGATATATATAGATAGATAGACAGCATAGTAAAATTTACTTAAAAGTATTTCCAGACAAGTGTGAGGGCGTTTTTGTTTATTTATCCAGAAGTATCTATGGACTGCATCTCATCGCACTGTGTTGATAATAAACGAATGTAGCAATTATCGTTTTAAGGGTGATTTTCTTGTTCCTTATTAATATTTCAGGGAGGCTACACCGCAGAATTATCTTCGATGCCTTATCAAAATACAATAGCCATTGTAAATCTGCTCTCGTTGCGTTGGTTGGAATTATCGCCATAGATATCGGGTCATCGACCCTGCGTTCAAAACGTCAATCAAATGCTATTTACTTTCCTTCGAATTTTCAAGAATTCTTGGAAGACACAACTTGGCGTACATTTTTTCTCCTCTTTACAGAATCCAATTTCGACCTTAAAATGAAGAAAATACAACCAATCACAGTTCAAGCTATCGAAAATTGGTACGTCGCATTTGAAGAACACCTTTCAAAATAAAAGTAATTTCTGACTGATAACATTAAAAAATCTGTCAAATCCGTTGCACTTTCGAGGTTTGCCGGTAAAAAAGAATGTTCAGTTGTAACCAAAGTAACCTTGGAATGATCTTATCTTATCAAAGAAACCCTTTTTGTCGACTACTGTGGCTTTTTACTTTTCGTTTTGTTTATGCTAAATTGAATAATGTTCCTTCAGTATTACACTATAAGTTCTCCCCTCGACCGTTTTGTGTACGTCTTGGAAAATAAAGAACTTGAGGAAATTTATCATGAAGGAATATGCAAAATGTGAAAATTCGTTTCGAACGCGGTTAGCGTTCAGTGTGGCTTTAGATTTACCTATATAGTTCGCTCTCCATGAACGAGCCGGCCGTTTGTGGTTAAAAGTTAATTGAATCAATAATTTATAAAGGTATCTCTTTAAGCGATCTTCATCAAAACACTGGGGGAAAAATGTGGCTAATACTCACAACGGGTGATGTAAAATAGCGCGTATTGAATGGCTAAATCGGTATCTCATGAATAGCTCCTATTTGGGCACCATTCATGATGATCCTTCTTTCACCCTTTGTGGGAATTTTTTTCTATATATCACCCATGATTCTGTTTAATTTTTGCGGTTGTGCAAACTGCTTCGAATGAGAGTATGAAAAGGACTATTTGGTAGCATGTTGAGTTTGAAATTGATCATAGCTCCTTGCAGACTGAGAGGTAATTATCGATATCATGTCTTTTTTATTAAATATAAAATAACCGATCACAAAGGTATCAGTGTCGTGAGAATTTCGGGCGTTTTCTCTCACGCCTCTTCCACAAGTATCCGGAAATTTTTGACACGGAGATTATTTTTTTACAAGTAAAAAAACTACACAGACGTGAACAGCGCCTTAATGGTTTAAGGTTCTTCTCTGATGATATGCTGTGCATAGATTTGCACTTTAGCGAGTCATATTGTTAAAATGTTAAAATTATTGATGAAATAAGCCTCAAAGCATCTCAGATGTCTGATGAGCAGATATATCTTTGGAGCACAATGTACATCCAAATTTTGGGGATAGTTGGCCATGAAGAGGCGATTTAATTGAAAAGTTATCACACAACTTACGAAAGGCGCAGGAAAAATATGATATTTCTTTGCCATGCTTTGAAGTTTGGGAAAACTACTGTATAAAGCCTCATTGCTCTCGGGAAGTAAAAATTGAGTAAACGTCTCTGCACTTTTTTCCTTTTGAAGACACCATCACCAGAGGAACTTGAGAAATTCAAGGAGTATGTGCTAGAAAAGTATGATGACAACTGTGACGGCAAAATAAGTATGGATGAGGTAAGCACCAGAAGTGTACCATTAATTAACTTTGTGGCTTCACAAGGATACATTTGATGTAACTGTTATTTCATTTTGTGCGCCTCAGGTGAAAACCATTATAACTTGACTCTTAACGAGGTTCTTCTTCATGTATCAACCTTCTCTAAATGACTCCTGACTGCTACTCTTTTATCGTTGATGTCTTCCAATTCATGGTTAATGATCCTTGTTAACTGGTAGTTTGTTGGTGTCACCGATGAAGCGACAACCAACAGTAGTTTCCATCACCTTTTGCATTTTTAGCTCGATTATTTTTGACACCCTTTCAAAGGATCAGATATTCGTGAGCAACACCTTAGCTCTTTCGACCCAAATAATGTACAAAGTATTCTCGATTTTGTTTTCACTAGAGCACTTACTTATGTAGTCTTTCCCTGAATTTTAGCTCGAAAACATTCTTCCTACAGAGGAAAACTACTTGAAGCAGTTTCGAGCAGAGTTCTCAAGTAAGACAATGGACAGTATCCAATTCATAAAGGTGAGAAAGGAAGTCATGTATCAACTTTTATGTCCATTACACATGTAGGCGTTGTTTGTCATGGAATGTCAACATTATCCGAATTTGATAAAGCAGTGGTGATAGTTTTAAGCCCATGCATTGCATCCTGTCATGGAGCAGAATCCGTAAGCTCATGGAAACAGAAATGGGATAAACTAACGCAGTGTCGGTACGACTACCATGTCATAACGTTTATTTTTTTGTACCGCCAAATAGTCTACCTCCGAATTCTCTTGTTAGCATCTACGAGTTTCATCTGTAATAAGTGAGTATAGGTATTATAAAATTCACGAGCTCCCCAACCATTTTGGACCGTAAGACGTTTTGTTGTTGCAAGATGGTCTTATGCAAAACTAAAGATCTAGTTTTTCTTCCAAGGAAACCTCCTCTGCTAGAGGAGGTTTTTGGAGTTGAAAAAAATTATTACTTTTCTTTTAAAAATGGAATGTTAGCATCAATTGCGGGATGAAAAAAGGAAAGCTTATTCTGGGATCAATGAAAGCAGTGGCCCTTGACTCTATACGTTACATAAGGAAAGCTTGGAAATTAAAGGAAATCGAGAAAATTAAAAGAGAGTGAATAGAGATAACTGTTTTAAATTTATTTCCAGATTTTTGCAAACGCGATGCTCATTTTCCTCTTCGAGAGAAAAACCCACGTTCACTCAAAACTCTCATCTTTGTAACAGCAACTTTTCCCAAGGGAGATACTTACTGGTTATTATGAGATAAATTATTTTATATTTCATTGATCGATTAATTAATTAGTTGAATATTTGTTTTGTTGTTTTTCTTTTCCCTTTTCTTTACCTTGCAGATCTGGAATCACTATGATAGTGACAAGAATGGGTACATGGAGGGAGACGAAATCGAGGCGTTTTTAAAAGATTTGCTGAAAGCAGACGATCAAACTGTGTCCCCGCAGCGAATTTCGGACTACAAAAATTTCATAGTAAGAATAAGCAAAATTTTTTTTTTTTTTAACTTTTCTTTTCATGTATGCAATACAAGCGTTCTAGCCGTCATAAAATGACTTTTGGTATTGATATTTTGTTCTCCATGATCGAAGTTACTACACAACAAATATTGCTTCCAATACTGACCATTGAACCAATGAATTTTGAAATATCATGCCTACCAAATCCCCGCCCTTGAGTCCTTGTTTTTTGAATCACGAAGAGTTGTTGTTCTCTAGTACATAGGAAAGTGACATTTAAATTTGGTTCAAAACTTCTTCTTTTGACTCTTCAATGTATACAGATTACATTTTTCAGAATTTTTTAATTTTTAGATGGATCGCTACGACGAAAACAACGACGGAAAAATTGGATTAAAAGAACTTGCTATGTAAGGCTTCATTAATTTAGTATGATATTTCATTTGTTGTAACACCAAAACAACATGACTAGCAAATGATTTTACTGTCATTTAATCAATTGTGTTTAAAAAAAAAAAAAGACCCCGTATTTTCACAAATAGGTTACAAAAATCAACGTTTTGGAGAAGGCATTATCAAGGAAAATACACTGTTTACTGTTCTACATTTTGGACTCTATGATAATTTATCTTGACCTGCCACGTATTCTAAAACTTACCTCGAATTATTGAAAACTGCTAACGATTTATGTAGCATGAAGTTGGAATTAGAGAGAGTTAAAAGGTAGTATGTATAAGGCACAGCTGAGGAAGTCAATTCTGGTCCCCATTGGCGCAAGATACGAGTAAGTGAGAGCTCTCCAACTGCGTAGTCCATTGGATTTCGCTTCGAGAGCCTTTTATCTAAAGCTTATTTTCAATCATCTTTTATGGTGTAGGATCCTGCCTCCTGAGGAGAACTTCTTTGCCAGGTTTCAGGTACAATATATCCGCCTCATTATGCACTAGTTTGTTTCGTTTTTCTTTCTCCCTGTTTGTTTATTGTTGTTTTGCTCTAACTTGCCGATTGCTGCGTACCACAATTTTGTCAATAAATTGCAAATAGCTTTTGAAGATTCATCGTTTGCAAGTTTAAAGGAAAAATGTGTCCATATCGTTTTCCGACAATTTCTTCTCCAAGCAACCATTAATAGAAGAATTGATCTTTAAGAATAGCGAAACTATTTCGAGCTGCCTTCAATCAAGCTACTGATAATAACCAATACAAGCGTTCTAGCCGTCATAAAATGACTTTTGGTATTGATATTTTTGCTCTTTGTTCCACACTCATACTACAACTATCTTTAGGGAAAGAAATGTTTATCAAAGGAGGACTTCGACGCAGTGTTCGACCATTATGATGAGGTAGGGTGTTAAAGAAGTTGATTGCGTCTAAGAGTGCGTTATCTTGTCATTGACGGTGAATTGCGGTGTTGACAAGTCACATTCGTTATAAGGCTAACGTTTTGTATGTTCCAAATTGCGTGAGGTAAAGCTGAAATGCAGAAAATAGAAAAGAAATTGCTGAAGGATTTAATGAAAAATTCATAGTGGCCTTGCTTTAGCTGGACACATCGTGTTTCAAACACTTCTGCTCTTGTATAATATTCAGACTTTTAGCAAAATTGTCTTCGCATCTTATTTACGTCAAGAAGGAAATTAAGTTTTTGTCTTAATTTTGGTTGACGTCTTTTTTTCCCGTAGGATAACAACGGTGAGATTGAAGGCTCTGAACTGTTGGTTCTTCTGCGTGACGTCATGAAACGGATGGGACTGGTAAGAGGAAACTCAAATCTTCGAAAGGAGTCTTTCATGTTACTTACTCTGCGCGTGATTAAATTTCGCTCGCCGTTACATCGTGTTGTATTTCACTAAATTTAATTTTTTGATCGTTTTCAGGAACCTGACAATGCTTCAGAGCTGGAAAAAATGAAGGAAGTCGTACTTGGAGTCAGCGATAAAGACAATGATGGAAAACTTTCCAAAAGCGAGCTGTCACTGCTATTGTCTGACGTGAATTAGTAAACATGTCTGACACGGATGAGAACCTTACAAGATAATGAAACTTTTGAATTGATATTTATTGGACGCATGTGGTATAACGACTTAGCAAAGCAAATCATGAAATAAGCCTTCTTTGATAAAAAACGAATGGCTTGGATCTTTCCCCAGACAAATTTACTATCTGTCTACTATTCAGCCTTACCAGCATAAGGCAGTTAACTTTTATGCTACCCCTTTTCTATGTTAGTCCTCTTGCAAGAATTTTTTTGTTGGGAACACTGGGAATTTCCCTTTACTTCTAAATCTCTTTGTTGAAGATTAAGAATATTTGATTCTTGAAAACTTTCCTCTGAGTTTTCTCCTGTGGCACAAACCGAGGCAGATCAGGGCAATATAAGTTTAAAAAAAAATTCTGTCTAATTGCCCCAAGTTTAGTAAATAGAATTTAAATTGTCAATTTTAGCCTTTTTGTATGTTGAATTTGAAGCATTTTAGGAGTTTTTCTATTTACCGAGAAATCCTTTCATTTGAAAAATCTTGCGTGTCGTGAAAAATTTAGCTCAATATAAAATAAACAGGTACTTTCTGTGTAGATGTGTGTGCAAATGCTTTATTCTCTGGAGATAACATTTAATATGGCAGTAAGGTACAGAGGGAAATACCCGTCTGTTTTAGCAACTTCCTTAAGGAGAGTAACTCTCAACTGGCCGTGGAAAATTGAAACTATCTACTGATACATCTGCCTTAAGCATAAAAATGGAAAGCAACGCGAAAGTCAATCTTTAAAAACGACTAAAATTCAAAAACGGAAAGTTGTCTTAAAACGAACCCCTTAAACCCCCTTCAAAGGAAAAAAAAAGCCACATTTAGTATTATGATTTGTCAGTTCATAACAGTTTGGCCAAAATGTTCTTCACTTCCTCCTTCCTAAATTTCTTGTTCTTGTCTTCGTCAAATTCCTTCATCTTTTCTTTAAACTTTTCAAAGGACTGACCCGGCTGCGGGAAACAAACAAATAAATGAATCTGCATCAGCGTTTAACTTGCAAGGAAAACATCTGAACAGATTAAGGAATTGAGTGAGGAAAGGAAGATTATTTTCGTTTTCTACTTGTAACTTTTGTTTTTGTTATTTTTTTTAATATTCAGTATGCTGTTAACACTACCTACAATATCAAGCTGCCTACGTTGCCATACATTAAAAAAATTTCACAAACTCTGCGTAACTTACTGAGATATTTTCCTAAGCAACTTACTTTACGGTCATTATAACAACGCATTACAAAATTGTGGTTAGTTTTTCTCTGTCTTTATCTGGTGATTCACTGATTTTTTTTTTCTTTAATCCTTTGACCACTAGGAGTGATCATTGCCATTCACCTGAGGAAATGTATAGAGAACAGTATGACAAATATGTATACCGATGTTAGGGTGTAAAGGCATATGGCTAACCTGTATTCTATCGTAGAGGTCTTTGAGGAAACCTTCAAGCTCACACCCTTCAATTTCGTTACTTTTGTCCTGAGGAGTGAGAAATAGTTATGTTCCCTACGAAACTAGCAAAAATTTCAATACCAACGCTACCTAAAAAACCAACACTCTTGGCAATACTAATAATCAATCCCTACAATAATAACGAGAGCCTACAATAATAACGAGAGCAAAGCTCAAAAGCCAATAGATAAGGCTAAAATTTGCAATGGTGATGATAACTATGTTTTGACGCTTACCTGGTCGTAATGTGCAAATATCTCTTCGAATTTTTCGGCAGTAAAAGCCTGGAATGTATTTGGAAAAAAGTGTAAAACAGCTATTTAAGCAAAAGATTAGAATATCCTGTTTAGACCTCTCTTTCAAAGTTTTCTTTGTTTCATCATACAATTGGGAACCTATTTCAGATACATCTCGATTGATGCAAATAAAGTAAAGGGATTTTATATGATATTTGTAAATTAGTCTTTCTACGCGGGTTTCTCTTACCTCGTATTGCTCCAGAAAGTTTTCCTCGACAGGGCAAAATCTACAAACAAAGTTGCGTCATTAGAGATGGGTAAACAGGACGAAAAATAAGATTCATAAATATGACTTCTTACAAATTTTCAAAAGGTTCGATTAAGCTCCATTTCGATTTCTTAAGTCAAGTGTGGTTACGACTTGAATTTCTTTATTGTAACCAGACAAGACAGATTTAACTTGACTAAAGCAAACACCATACCGAAATATAGATGTTTCATGATTGATATGATTGATAGGAATTTCACGACTACTCGACTAATTATGAAAAATTAGGTGTAGAGATTGAGAACAGAAAATGTGTACTTACTATTATTCTTATGAATTATGATTCTTCTCACTATCTAAAGAATAAACGGAGATAATTGACGAATTATGTTTGGGTCTTTACTTACTTGCACATTTTATCCAGGCTGACTTTATCCCCTTGAATGTTCAGCATTTCAAACTGCGAAAAATAGTTTGCAGTGTCCACTTATTTCCGCTTTCATAACTGACTCTATAACTATGACGCATGTATTCTCTATGTTATTGGTCTTAGAAATGTTCATTCAAACACAGGTATCTTGTCTTATTTGTTTAATACATTTACTTGGAAATAATACTGGTCCATATTATATCTTTCCCGAAAAAAAGAAAAAAACAAAAATAAAACACCGCAATAAACCAAGAAGTGTATGATCCCTCCAGAATAAAACTTGACCTTTAAAATGCATGTTGTACACCTATACATATTACGTACTAAAACAATTTTGGCTTTTTAAAATTACTGGAAATCAAAATGGAATACTAAACTATTATCAAGTTACCTGAGCCATTGATGTCTTACCATAGTTTTGATGTAATGATCAACTTTCTTTTCTAATTCTTCCGTATCCTCAGTGTCTCCCTCGCCCTTGTTCTTTGTTACAATATCGTAAAAAAATTTCTAAAAAGATTAATAAGATGTTATTATCGGAAAAATTAAGGCAAAAGGAACAGAGTTGTCATGCTAAGGTATTATTACTGTAATAGTGTAGTTTGATCGTCCGGGTGAGTGTAGTCCTGAGAAGGACTGTTGTCAGTAGTGGTGACTGACTTTTCGACAACCTGAGTGGAAGTCAGAGTCAAAAGAATAGTTGTTGTCAGTCCAATGTTCTTAGTCCAGTTTGTATAAACTGATTGGTCAGTTTTGCCGTGATGTCACTGGCTGTAAGACTCAAGTGGCGTAGGTCGGTCGTGATTGGTCAGTCTCGATCCGTCGTTTGTAATGTTAATGTCGTGGATGAGTCGTTTGTATGGTACCAGTAGTGGTTGACACCTGTTGAGGGGAGTCTGTTCCAAGTTAGTAAACAAGCTTTCTGGAGTCAGTCGTTGAAAGTAGTTGTTGCTGAAGATTAGGCAATGCACAGAACCCCAGTCGATAGCGTGTTTCGTATGTCGGTGATGTTCAGCAATGTGATTTTTGACATCGCCTTTTCTCGTCGCTCGTTTGTGTTTAGTCAGTCTAGTTGTGAGGTTTCTGCCAGTCTCACCGATGTAGGAGGCGTGGAAGTCGGAGCAATTGATGTTATTAACTGCTCTTTGCCTGTTCCTCGGTTCGTCTTGGTCTTTGAAGTTAGTCAGTAACTAACGTAGTGTGATAATGGGTTTGTGAGCGACGCGGATATTGAATGGTTGTAGGATGCGCGAGATGTTCTCAGATATGCCCTTTATGTACGGTATACTTGCTATAGTCGTAAGGGTTGTGTTGTCGTTAGCTTCGGTAGTAGTAATAGGTCGGTGAGTGTTTCGTCGGATGAAGTCTTCGTTATAGTTGTTCTTTGAAAAAACACGGTCAAGGTACTTGTTTTCGTCGGACAAGCTCTCTGTTGCATATTAGCTGCGCTCGTCGCATGAGAGTCCTGATAGTTGTGGCCTTGTGTAATGTCGGGTTGTAGGATGACTCGTCCGGTAATCTGTCTGTATGTGTCGGTTTCCTGTAAACTGTTGTCCGTAGTGAGTTGTCGTCATGGCTTACCAGGCAGTCTAGAAAAGGTAGTTTGCCAATTTCTTCGATTTCTCTGGTAAACTGTATGTCAGTGTTTTGTCCTTTAAGGTGATGGTAGAAGGAATCGATTTCGTCGTGTTGTACGGCTGTGAATGTATAGTCAGCGTAGCGTAATCAAAGCGGTATCGTTTGTCGGCAAGTCGAAAGAGCACAATGTATGTATCTTTATGTAAATATACATAATAAGATATATATTATTAATTTTTTAATGTACAAATCTTTAACTTAAAAAAAGGAAAAGATGAAGCGTTAAAAAACGAGTGACTTATTTAATTACCAGAAAAAAATTTAGACTCGTAATGTATCCATGAAATAAGCTACGCACCATACCAGCCGACACATCTAAATGAAGACCGTTTTCTACATATATATAATACAACGGTCACGGTTAATTGGTAACAGGACTCCGTGTCGTCCAATTCTGATCACTCGTGTGATTACAGACCGAACTGAACTCCACTCAGTCCTATTATCATAATTAATTATTAGAATCACTATCGTCATTAAATATTACTACAATTGTTACCTGCAGCTCCACTCTATCCAAATGTCCACTATTATCAACATCATAGTTATTCCAAAGCTATGAAGAAAGTATTTCATAAGTTCGAAACTGCTATATTTTGATCTTTATTTATTTATCTCCTAATTTATATATTCCTTTATTGACATCCATTTTCAAATCACCAGCGATCCTTGCAATCTGGTTGGCTCTTATCTTTTTCCCAGCATATGAGAAACCTTTATTCAAACACGACAACCAATAATATTTCAAGGCTTGTTTAAAGTAACGCTCAAATTAGCGAAAAATGAAAGACAACTTTTTAAAAAACCAGCCTAAGACTGGATCAATAAAATGTTCGTGAAAATCCTATATTTGAGCGGCTGAATTTTTTGATTTCAAAAAGGATGTAATAAAGTGGTAATTGAACTTCGTGTCGTGCAAGTTTAGTCGAAAATCATACTTGTGATTTCAAATCAAACTCGCGCTGCGCACTCGTTTTATTTTATAATCACGCGTATGATTTCAAACTAAATTGCACTCTACTCACGTCAATCACAATTATTAATCTTGTTTTATTGACAGCTATGATCTCAGCCAGTATTACCTGAGGTCGTCAGGATTACCGCGTGAGCTTTTGCGATTGTCTCGGAACAGTTGCATCTGAATCTGATCAACATCCGCTGGCCCAGAAAGACTTCACAAAAAGTCCTAATGTACTCTAAGAAAGCACTCATCAATCTCTACCTTCATAAAATCCACACTCGTAATTCTTGTTTTCTGCTCCCCGAATTCAACTGTTAGGAAGTTAACGGGTGCTATTTCCTTTGTCAGCTATACAAAACAAAAGCAGAGCCTTTTTTAGATATTAGCTGAATCAATTTAAAGAAGTAGCTTTTCAGTTTTTTCTTTACATAGCCACGCAATTTTAAAGAAATTATTAGTGTAACAAATTAAGTTATGCTCGCATCCATGTGACACGAAAAAAAAAAAAATTTATTACCGTTGTCATAGATACTTCATCGCCATCTTGCTGTTCTTCGCGGATTTTTTCAGCAATTTCTACAGCTCTGCATTTTTCTATCAGACCCTGAAGACCGGGATTGAAACGATTATGAGAAACTAAAATGCAATGAACAAATCTCTCTGAAAATTGCGAGTAATTATGATACAAGAATTATAAGTTCGTTTATCAATTGGTATGCAAGTCATGCTGTACGAGGCAAGTTTAGTTGATTGTGCTCTAATGCAACATAATAATAACGGCTTAAAGCAATTGAGTGTTGAAAACCCAAAACCAAACGTGTCTAAGCGACTAATCAAATCCAAAGTTTTACATTATTATTAGCCAACGAGAACTCAAAGTTTAAGAAAAAGCAAACTGCTTGCAGCGTGGGGAATGACCACGAATGACCAAGTTGCCATTGTTTCTATTTTGGATCTGATTGTTTGGTAGGATGGCTCGAGTTTGTTGGACCAATCAGAGAGCAAAGTTAAGTAAAACCAAAGCAATCATAATAAGTTACTTTCGACGCTTAATTGAAAACTGCTCAAAAACCTCGTGTCTCCCTTCCCCCTTTAAACCACCCAGATGCGTAATTGTCATCAAAAAAATGTCTTCTCTGTTAAGTCCTAAGGCATTAGTGCAAAAATAAAACACCACAGGCTAAGACAAATAAAAAAGCCAGAGCCAAACAAAATATGTGTTAGGAAAATAATTGAAAACGGTGCGCTAAAATTGTAAAAATTTTGTTTTGCCAAAACTCTATATGAAATCAATAGCCAGTTGCTCTTAACGTAAGTGGAGAATGAAGGTTTGAATCTGAAATTGTTCAAAATTACGCATCTTACATAACTACAGCCACGATTTGATGTTCTCATCTTGTTAACGGTTTAACTTATAATGTTACGAAAACGTGTCTCCCCTCCACCATTATATGCTATTAATATACACGTAGGTGGGGAGAGGAAACTAGGTGATGTAAAATTTATATGCAAAACTAACGATCCTTTTTACCGGCGCCTCCCGGGGTCGTAGTCTCTAATAATTATCCTCTATGTTTTTGAAGCAGCGAATTAAAATTTAATTATTACCATACGTCGAATGGCTCTGAGGCTCTGAGGTATAGAGAAGCCTGCGCATAATACTTCAAATTTTCGAAATTTAGGTATTTTGGTTAACCAGGAAATTTCTTATCAAATCAAACGCAAAAGTTCTTGATACTGAGTTTCGATTCCCAACGGTTTATATACGCTGTCTTACGGTACAAATGTCTCATTCCTTTAGCCAAAATAAAATATTTCTCCCCGTAATGACCCCTTTTTTTATAACACAGCCAGCTGCACAATGGCTTAAAAAGGACTGTTTACCATAATGGTTTTCGCAGCGAGCAATGCAGCTCGATAAATCAGGGTGAATGTTGAACTGATTTCACTTGAAATCGCATATGAAAACGTTTCGCAAACAACTTCACCTAAATTGCTAAATATCGATCGAGAAAACTGTTCCACAGGAAACTAAAATATAAAATGGCAATTGTATCTTGGCGGGTGGCAGCAGGTAATTCTTAATTTACATCTTTTTTGACAATATTTCAGCATAGGCAATTTTAAGCATAGAAAAGTAACATGAGTTAATTTTACGGTAGAAAATTGCGACTTCTCTACGATATCAAGCAGTGGCTATAAAATTAGAAAATAATTGTTGACATAAATTGTTTTAAATGCCCGAAAATTTGTGAGATAGAAATTTTGTGATAGGAGTGGCTCACTTCTGATAAAAATATTCTTGAAAAAAAATAAATACCTCGTCCACAAATGCCTCCAAAAACGCATCTAGTTGGCTCAGTTTGATGTCTCCATCACCTGTAAATTTAATCGTCGAGTTAGAGTAAGTAAGGAGAAATATGAGAATAACAATAAAGTTCATGCAGCAGATGGTATAATGCTTTGTTGGTATAACGCTTTACTGACCGTCTTTATCGAATTTCTTTAAGATGGTCACAAATTGTCTCGACGATATCCCGATGCTGTTTTCTGAAGCCATCGAAGTCGAGAGCAAATCAATTTGTGCCTTTGTAATAAAAGCTGAAAAAATGACCAACAGAGACGATCAGGTAATACCTCCCTTCAAAACGGAGAAAAACGATTTGAGGTGTCTAAGTAAACACCTGGCATACTTTCAGCCTTCAAAAGTTAATCTTACTGGTTGAGAAGTAGACACGTGATACGTTCAGTAATATAAATTGTGTTCATATTCCAATCTCGATTTATAAATCTAAAAAATTGTGAACCTTCCCTCTTCAAGATTTCATTTATTCAACCTTTTTCGTTATTTTTCTTATCATGTACGTTTGCTATCGTTGAAATTAATTCAGTGAAAAGGTAAATATCAACTTAGCAGGTCCCTCGTTAAAATTTAATAACATAAAGTTCAAACAAGCTTTTTCCAGCCGGTATGATTTTTTCAGAATTTGCTTAACTCGAAACGCTCAAGTGGCAAAGTAGCATTGTGTAGTTTGCAAAAACAAGCTGATTCATCTTCCCTTACAGGCATGGAAAAAGAACAGAAAAATAACAAAAAATAAGGAAAAAAGAGAGAGATGGAAAGAAAGAAAATTTCTCTTTATAAATAATTCATTTGGTGCCGACGAATCAGACTGATAATGGACTTAATTTTAGTAACAATAACATTAAAAGAGACTCCCATTTTTGAATTTTAGTCCATTTGCACAGACTATGCGATAGGTGATATGTCATTCACAGAAAAACAATTTGTGTTCTACTTTTGTTCGTTATTGTTTTTAACTCGAGGATACGCGATAGCTTAGATACTAGTTGTTGCGGGCACTTTAGGATATGCAAATTGGCGTGGACTCTTCGTAATTAGTCGTAATTAGTAGGTTCCGAACTCGAGATCTGTCCTTCCGAAGAAGTCCGAAGTCCTGGCGCCATTGTGACTGCATCGATCGTTGCGATGTTTATTGTCTTTACACTGCTGTTTCGACATTTATTAAATTGATACGGACTTCGAATGTTTCAGATTAGTGCTATGATCAACTTAAAGACCTAATTTGAAGGGTTTTCGAATCGTCCATGCGCTACATATGACGAGGAGCAGCGAGAATCAAGAGTTTGTGAGTGTCACAGAGCAAGCTATTAACATGGAAATTCCCACGGAAACATGTACCCATGACTTTAAAAAAATTTTTAATTTACATTATTATTTCTATATTAATACATTTGCATTATTTCTTTCGTTTCAGGGTTGTTTTTCGGACGTTTCGGTAGTTACCCCAATTCCAGATCCGCCATTTGATAAACTACGTGGAAAACTTCCTTATTTTTTAATTTTCCCCAATTTTGGTAAAAGCTCGGATATGGACGTCGCCATTTTCGAAAAGAGCAATCTGCCGGAAAACGCAAACCCACGACGCGTTGTTCACAAGCAGCTGCTGCCTATTGTAGTTGTTGTTGTTGATTTTGTTTGTTTGTTCATTCTTTTGTCTCTTTTTTGTTTGTTGTTGTTGTTGATTTTTTAAACAGTTATGAAATCAGTTAGACTGAAAGAGCTACGATTGTTTGAGTCCTTTTGGCGATTAAAAATTAAGAGGACAGGAATTCATTATACAATACAAGGGAAGAATAAACCAGAAAGGAAGGGAAGTCAAAGATGGCGACCATTTACACGGTTTACAGACGAAAAAACTTTTAAAGTTTTTTAAACATCTCAAACCTTAAGGTACATCCAGTGAAGACGTAGTCTTTTAGCTTCGTATGAATATAATGTCACCCCTTAATTTTCAAAGACGCCGATTGATACATATTGACCGTCTACTTCTGATATCACTTAGGCTTTTATTTCCCTCCGTGGTCACACGTGTCATCTTTTAAATACAGTTGAGCAATTACCTAAAAGAGATACCTAGGGCCTTCTGCTATTGGAGGGCTTGACAAGTGACGTTATAAAGGGTAAACAAAAAAGAGAAATTCACGACACAATTTGAATTACACAGTGTATTCATATTAAGTTACTCAATTTATCAACCCGATTATATTTCACGATTTTTATGGCTTTGATTGATAAGGATCCGACTAAATCATATATTTGACACTCTGTTCATGAAAAACATAATATACAGGAGTTTGGAAGTTATAAATTGAACCAATTCAGAATTAAATTGGAACAAAAAAAAATCCAGAACTTGGCTTTTGTTAACAATTAAGCTTGTCAAATTGCATTTTATTAAAAAACTTTTATCTTGTTCCGGTCTTGACCCTTACCTGACAGATGCTTGCTAGTTTATACTTTTATATGCATATAAACAAGTTTTCTTTATCTTATGACTAACATTGATAAATTGCAAAGCTTGATTTTTTGGTTAATTTAGGACCACGTTTCTCGCTCCTTTTTTTTACCTTGACAGCTCGGTAAAAAAGATTATCACTATTTCTCTTAATGGCGACTTAACCCTTAAATTGCATCGGCATATTCTTTGAAAAGAAATTCAAATTTGGGACAAGGAACATTTTTTGGTGTCAATTTATATATTGAAAAGACAAAAATATATAATATATATACATATATTAAGGCAACAAAAACCAGAGAGTGGTAATCACTGTCTTTCTGTATAGAAAATCAGTCGCGCTTTCCCAGACCTCGAACACATCTAATCGATATAAGTGAGATATTCCACGGCAGTAAACTTCTCTGTTTTCAAGATAATCAAATCAACCTGCATACGTATTTAATTTACATATGTAAAGTTCTGCTGAGCAAAGGGGGTTTTAATTTCAACTCAAGTGCATGGTTTTAGGCAAGAAGCTTCAATTCCCGCTGAGAATCTTCTCCTCCTCTTATCCTCAGCATTTAACTCTAAGGAAGGAAAGAAACGTTGAAGAAAAAAGGTATTATACTACTTTTTTATATATAATATTAACCGCGAAGGAAAATTAATTTGACCACAAAAGTAACTAAGCTTATTAGTGGTGAATAAGGATGCTTAAAAACCCTCGAATATTTTGTTCATCGTATTTTCCAGTGGCTCCAGGACTGGTAAGTCCAAACAGCATTATAAATCAAAGGGAATATCACAATGATTTCCTCTACAGAAATTTTAGTCTCCCAGAACAAAATTCGAATCTATGTCTTTGTGATCTAATTTGAGGGTCACCGTGGAAGGTGTATGTGCAAACGTCCGTTTTTCTAAGAATTAATTGAGGGCAATATTGTAATGCCAAAAAGATATGTATTAAAACCCGAAATCTTTCTATAAACATTCTGCATGGAAGGAAAATAATCTTTTTATTATGTAGATGAAAGTCGTTTCGATAATATTATTTTTTTGTACCGCGAGGTTTCATTAAAGTTCAGATTCATAAAGATAATGACAACTCATGTCTCTGAAGTGCTAAGTGATCGTAATCTTTCGCGTGGTACACTACAAGCGCTTTCTTCATCGGCGTTATTGCAAGATGCAACAAATAAATTTTCAAAAGGTATAAGGAAAAAATCCACATCAAAATCTCCCCTTTATCAATTTCAAAGACATTACATTTCTTATGTTGTGATATTTCATCTTTCCGGTAAGACACTCACTGTCCTTGTGACAAACTTTTGGTTGATGTGTTTCTCCTATTGCCGTAGTTTTAATATTTGTATTTTCACTGAAATATTGCGACGCTTTCAACATGAATCAAAGTAAAGGGGAACAACAAGTAATTGTCCGATCAAAGGTGCTCTGAACGTGATCAGAGCCCAAGTTATTTTAGTAGAATCAAAGAGAGTCGTAGGCGGTATTTAGATACGCCGAGTATGAATGGAAACAAGGAAGAAGGTATAATTGCTCTATATATTTTTTTTTCTTTGAATAGGATATTTTCACAAAGGCGATCGGACTAGAAGCTTCCCTCTTTAATTTTTCTGCTTTGATATTCCCTTGTTCCCGGATATTTTGCTCTAGATATCTAACAGTCACGGCATATATGTTTTTTCTTTTGTTTCCAACCTTTTGTGTAGGTTTTTATAGTCCGCCTAAAATAAATGGACTTATTTGGTCTAACATCTTTATTTGTATATGAAAGCTAAATGTTCGGCTTTTTGCAATGGAAATTCTCGTTCGAGAAATCGTTTTAAACGTATACAGTAAACTTGATGATAAAATATCCCTTTATGTTGTTTATTTGTCTCACGGACAATCATTTAGATCACTAATCTACATTGAACTTGGATAGGCAAAAACTATATTGAAGTACAGATTCCGAACAAATAAGTGTCAAAAAAGACTAGAAATGGGCAAATTGCATCGTTAGTAGTAACAAAGATTTTAATAATAAAAAAAACCTCCGAGAAATCGGAAATAAATACAAATATTTTTTCCGGATTTTTTGCCAACGGGGATATATATTTATTAAGTAAATTCTCTTTATGTCAAGACCTTCTCTCATGAAAAAGATCGCTATTATAAATAAGTATTAATTTAATTTCGCTCGTTTCCATTGGTTACTTGATGCTTAGTGTACAGCTACATAGGACTCGGAACAAAGAAAGAGTTTCTCAGGCTTTGGAGCTCATTCATACACCGGCAATGACCATATTCATAGAAAATATCCCGGTGTTGAAATGTAAACAAACAGAATAAAAAAGGTTTTCGTGATGAACGAGCTTTTGATATACTTGCACTCATTAAGCTGGCACAAAAGCAACATATTTAGGTTATGTTACTATCAATACATATTTATATGATAATGCACCCATACAGACGCACAAAAACAAACTTTGAGACCTGAATTTCAATTGGTAGAGTTGTAATTCCTACAATTTGAGTTTTTATCTCTAAGGAAGTTTGCATCACAACAAAGGAAAGCGAAACCGGAGGGCAATGTTTTCGAATCCCTCACCGAAGGTTTTGGCGGATAATGTAATTTTGAAACGTCTGTTGATCATTTTGGTTTAAGAAAAATAGATTTCAGCCTAAAGAGCGCATGGAAAAAAAAAAGAAGCTAGTTGCATGTCGAGCTTCAGTTGATGGTTTGCTATAGAACAGTGACTCATTTCAGTTTGGAAGAATATTGAATTTTGAACTGATTCGCCAAATGGTTATAATTAAATAAAATAGTCTAATAGAGAGATTTAGTTTACATTCGAAAATCACGAAACTGCTA